ACAAGATTTTTTTTTTTTTTCTCTCTCCGCTCTCTCGTCTCTGTCTCTCCTCATCCTTCTGTCTCCTTTTCTCTCACCTCGTCTGTCTGTCCTTACCCCCAGGTACTCCCGCCCCTGAGGGGGGAGGGGGGACGGGAGTAGAGCGCAGTCTCGTGAGTACCCCCCGTGTGGCAGTCGTCCGCGAGGGGCTGCCGCTTTACTTTCGTTTTGTGTTTGTTTATTTTATTAAAGTTTTAAATGTTCGCCGGTTCCCGCCTCCTTCTTCCCGAACTACGAACGTTTGTTACAATTATAAATCAGGATTTTAGGGCAGATTAACAGCTTGGAAGGGAGTAGTCTTAATGGGCCGTGTTTTAGTCACTATTTAATATTCATCTTGTTGTCGGACAACAGAAACCGAAAAATATATCAATGAAAACAGTTGTATTGGGCTTGAATTTGCCTGTATTAAAATACTGTATGTGAGCTTAGAGAGTAGTAGAAAAGCAAACAAACGTAAAAGGTTGGCAGAATACAAATGTCATGCAATAGTTTTATGAATATGCTAATTAGCATATGACATCATTTAGCAACTTTTCGAGCAGGCTTTACCACTTTCCATTGAAAATCTTTGGATGTCAATGCCTGTTTGATAGTGGTTTTGAGATCTTTGCTTGAATAAAGGTTTTTTTTTTTTTTGGCATCTATTTATTATCACAAATACACAAAATGTTCTTTGGGGAACCAAACATGGTTCTTCCATGGCTGCTGTGAAAACCACCTTTTGGAATTTTTGTTTTTACGAGTGTAGTAAATTTAGATGCAATCTTGAATTTGATTAATATTCATATGCAAAGGGATAGTTTAGAGATGACAGAATTTTCATTTTTGATAACAAATATCCATTCAGACACTCACTATGGTATTCACTATGACCACTATCACTTCTCAGAGCAGCTTGTTTTATCGTTGTTGAGTCTGCTGTGCTTTTATTGGTATAACTTTTTGGTCATGTGAAAATCTTTGGCCAAGTCCGATCCGAATATGGTAAAGGCCTAGCTAATGAATAATACTTAGGTCACATTACTGGGTTGCACTAGGAGGTTACCAAGAAATGTGAGGCTGACCTAATCAATATGCATGAGCTCTAGTATGATTTATAATATCACACACTTGGGAGAGGTGCCTTTGCCCTGAAGGAGGAGGAGGCTTAACATGCCCCGTGGACATTACTGAGTCTTGTGAATTAAAAAATAAAATAAAAATAGCTGGCTAATAGGTCAGTTCTTGAGATGACCATATTTTTAAAGCTAAAATCTCATTGGGCATGTATAGTTCTCATGCATTTCCAATGAAGCTAAATGCTTTAGTGTTTCTTTTATTTTTATGTGCTTTGTTAACAAAAGGCTTAAAATCCAGAGAGGCTTAAGCTTCAGAAAATAATTTTTAAGATGAAATATGTCCTTTTTAAGCGATCTTGCATCAAAAATCCATTAAAACAGGACAGTACAGAATGCAAAATGAGGGTGTGTGTGTGTGTGTGCCCCCGAGGGTATGAGTGGTGTAAGGGCTTGTGCTGGCTGCTGTCCATAGAGCAAAGAGACCAGCAGCAATGCAGAATTAATGAAGGCTCATTATGATGAAACTCTCCATCAGAGTGTCATTCATTCTACACCAGAGACAGACTGAAGTTTTCAACAGCCATCACTGTGTCTGGGGGAATCTGTGTGTATGTGTGTGCTTCTCTGAATACATTTGCATTTATCATGGCTGAGTGTGTTTTATTACAGTGTGTATAGTGTCTCCTGTGCCTCTGAGTCTGGACACTGAACAGCATGTTTGTGTGTCAGACAGGGTCCAGAATTAACACTCAACAAATGCCAAATGCATGTAAAAATTGGCTTCGGTGAGTAAATATATATAAGTTTCTTGCCAGAGGCTGGCAACTAATAAGAATGATAATCACATATGCAGAATATATCTTGCAATAGTAAATAGGATCGCAAAGGACACATATCACATTTTTGACAGAGTGATGCAGACTCATTTTGTACATCACCATTCAAAAGTCAGGGGTCGCTACGATTTTTTAATGTTTTTGAAAGACGTCTCACCATGGCTTATGCTCAACAAAGCTGCATTTTGCTTAAAACACAGTAAAAATAATATTATGAAATATTATTAAAATTAAAATAACTGTTTTCTATTAAAATATATTTTAAAATGTAATTTATTATTGTGATTGCAAAGTTGAATTTTCAGCATGATTACTCCAGTCTTCAGTGTCACATGATTCTTCAGAAATCATTCTAATATGCTTATTTGCTGCTCAAGAAACATGTTTTATTATTATCAATGTTTAAAACAATCGTGCTAATCTTTTGTAACATTATAAATGCCTTTACTCTCACTTTAGATTCATTTTTAAAAAGTATAAATAAAACCAACATAAAATCTTACTGAGCCCAAACTTTTGAATGGTAGTTGCTGCAATTTTGTGACTACAAGAAAAAAGCAGGTAAATAATCCCATTATGATGACGACAAATTGTTAAATAAATATTTCTAAATAAATACTTATAAATATTTTTAATATTATAATAAAAATACTATTTGATATTGTAATAGAGAATGACACATAACTGCGAAAATAAAAATGTTTTTGTATACTTTCTCAGGTTACTTCGCAGTTCATTTTGAACCCTGTGTTTAGATGTTGACATACCTCATATGCATAATCAAATAGCTCCAGTATGGTCAGGATACTTGCACCGATAAACAAGCCCATCTGACCACCAATATCACCTGCAACATAAATATATTTATGATTTAGAGGAACAGAGAGAGAGAAAAGATGAAAGACACAGTATTCATGCTGCAGTGTGCTGTGTTACCTAGCAGACCCGCCACCTCGTACGCTTTCTTCTGCTCTATGGTCTCATAATTCAGAGCCTCAAAGAACACATCCAGAACAAGGATATTGTCCCTGCATCAACAGAACACAAAGAGTGATGTTTTGAAGTTATATTCAAATTCATAACCAGAAAACATGCTTCCTGCAAAAAAAGTGATTTGTTTGTTCACACCAGAAGCAAATAAGTTGTGCAACCTGACACAAGCAACGCTAAGCAGAAGATTTTTGATGTTTAATATTAAGCTAAGTGGAGCAGGATTTTAAACCAATGAGATTTCACTGTAGGCAGAGCTAGCCAGCGTGATGCAACATAAATAAAACCACATGACCAATAAAATGTCATGGCTGCTTAGAACAGAAGTGAAGTCAATAAAAATGGTTACCAACAATATATCTGTTAGCTCTAGTTATTCTAGTGATTACATCTGCACTAGTGGACATCTACCCAAACATTTTATCCTGTGTGTCACCTGATTAGGATACAGTTTTTGTTTTTTTACACAAACGCACACGCACACACACCTTTCTCAGAGCAGTCTCAAGAACAGGCCAAAGGCAAATTGGCAGCTGTTGGATGTTAGTTGGTAAACTGCAAGAGGGCTAACCTCCAAACCCTGACAACAATTACACTAGCATTATCTCAACCATTCACTACGCCTCTATTATGCTGCAGAGATGAATGATCTTGGCATGACCGATAATTTGCGTGCATGTGTGGAGGAGTTAAAGTAAACAAGTTTTTTCCCCTATCATCATCAAACGAAGCAGTCTAGAAAAGCTTATCTCTCTAGTGGGACACCAGAGTGATGATATGCTGTCTGCTTTAAGCTGATTTAATTGACTCTGTGCTTCAGCAACATCTCTCTCTCTGTGTGTGTGTATGTGTGTGTGTGTGTGTGTGAGAGAGAGAGAGAGAGAGAGAGAGAGAGTTCATCGCTATGACGATGAACTAATGAATGGAGAGGATGTGATATCTGTCACTATATTGAAGAACAACTCCCTCAATCTTCCTGACACAAAGCAAAAGTGTTCCCAACTTGTCAGCTAAATGTCTAGAGGAGAAATAAATATGTCTGAGAGCCACATCAAATGTCCTGGCGTCCTCATGTTGCTTTTATTGTAGAGAAGCACATCTATAAACTGAGGCAACATTTCAAACACACATTAAGTAGGACAACAACACACAGGGGGAGTTTCTTTGACACAAGTAAAGCTTTCTCTCAAAATACAGCGTCCATTTCCTCGTGTCACAACCAGGGTTGTGCATCATTTGTAGTGGAAAAGCAATGTCAATTCAATTATATTTCCTCAATTTGTAATTGAAAAATGATCATTTTAAATGTGAATTTAGTATGTAAATTAAGATAGAATACAATTTATAAGCAACCCAACTGTTTATTTTAATTGTACTTTTCATTATGAATTATCAATAAACGTTACCAAACAAAATATTGTGCTTTCCAGTAGCATTACTTTTTTCACATTATATATATATATATTATTCCACAACAATTATGTGACACTGAAGACTGGAGAAATTCAGCTTTGACATTACAGGAATAAAATACATTATAAAATATATTAAAATAGAAAATTTTTATTTTAAATTATAAAAATATTGCTGATTGTATTTAGAGACTTCTCAAAAGACTTCTAAAAAAAAAAAAAATAAATCTCTTCCTGTCATTTCACTTTAACATCCTGTGATTTACAGGGGTGTGAAGTAACGAATTACAAAGAAATACTTCGCTATTTAATGCAACTCTTACTCAAGTAGTTTTTTTGGACAAGTACTTTTACTCTACACGTACTACATTTTTTGGAAGGTAATGGTACTTTTACTTGAGTATATTTTTTCAGTTCTCTTTCCACCACTGGTGATTTATGTCCAGTTTAATTCAAGCTTGTGAATAAATTGAAGTACATTCTTAATTTCAGAATTTTTCTCAAGCTTAATAACAGCACAGCTCATCCCTGCTAGAAAAGTGCAAGCTTGTGATCATTAACAAGCTCCATCTCTGTGATCTTGATATGAGGTGGAACATTAACTGGTAATTTTGCAAATTGGTGGCAGTAATGAGGTAAAAGTTAAAACTCGTAAAAGGTATTACAAGGACAACAATTAAAAAGTTTGGAAAGTGGTGAAAAAGTTGCAACATACATAAAAAATATACTTCAGAGACCTTTTTGAATGCTGAATTCAAAGCTGTTTTGATGTATTTGAGGGGAAAGATGTGAGGTGTGTACTCACGTGATGTACTTCTCCGACCGGTTGAACTTCTTCTCCAGGTAGCGTGCAGAGGTTTTACTGGGGATCTTGACCATGGAAAGCTCTTTGTTGTATCGAGTCATGTTACAGGGGCTCCTGCAGATGCAGTTTGTGCCTTCAACAGCTGACAGAGCAGCTACGGAAAGCATGAAAGGGTATAGACGAGAGGAAAGAGAAAAGAGAAAAGAGAAAAAGAAAATGAGGAGAGACAGGAAAGGGTACAGGGAAGAAAGGGAGAATATATGTCAGTTCTTTCTGCAGGCAGCATTCCTGGGTTCTATGTATGACATTCCTTAACTTGATAAATACCAGGTACACACACACACACACACACACACACACACACACACACACACAATGATTGAAGTCAAAAACAATGATTGAAGTATAATTCAACTTTTGGCCTTGTTAGAAGACTTTCAAATCACTGCTGTCAACTCTTGACGGCTTGGAAAAATATTATGTGTTGCACTTTTAATTACCTTTAGAGAGATACTGCAAGCATGATGAAAACCACCACTATGAATCTGATAAACCGCAACGATCATATTGTCAAAGTGCTTTCTAACATTCTAGAGAAAAACAAAAGACTGAATGATTGACAGGTGAAACGTATTTACTGTAAAAATATTTATCTTGAATAAACTTGCTGACATTTAGCTTTCAGTGAATGATAAAGAGACTCAATGCTTCAGTGAAGAGTCTGTGCCCCGCTAGTCAAAGCATAAGCAATGTGTACAGGATTGCAATTGGAATGCCAATCATAGTTTGGAACCAAACCTAAAGCATCCTAAAAGGATCAAATAAGAATTCTCAAAGCCCCTACTGGATATAAAGAAATTGCTACAGGACTTTTTGATTCACATCTGATTCCTAGAATCCAACTGGGTCTTTATCACACTCCCACTTACTGCATTGGAACTGTGATTTCCATCAAGTGTCTTGCAGCTGGACAGTTCAAGAAAATCACAGGGGAGCTACAGGAGATTTAAAACACTTAACAATTCCTTTTGATATCCTACAGGGGCATTTTATGCTATTGTTAATCATAATAGCCTTATTTTTTCCCAAAAAAAACAAAAAAAAACAAATTCAATGGCAATCTGGGATTTTTTTTTTTTTTTGGTTAGAATAAAATGTGTTTTATAACCAAGTCCTTACTGTTTCTTATTTCCCATTTTTGTACATGTAAAATAACAAAAGAGAATAATTTGCTATTCTCTTGTCTGTTGCCAAGGGCTGGAATCTTTTGCTATTGGCTGTGCCTTCCTCAGATTTCTAATCAGCTCATAACTTGCATGACCTGGAGATGGAATCTGACCTTTCACAGAAACATTTTTAAATTCCTCCTTCCCTGACATTTTCTATCTCCACCGCTGTTTCTTCTCCTCACTTCCATCTCCTCTCTCACCCCTTCTGTTGGAGATGATACTAAAGTCACATCATTTAATTGGAGAATTAAGTCAGATTTAACCTCTTCTATACACACACACACACACACACACACACTCACTCGCAGACAACTGAACAGAAAACACACACACACACAAACACAGGGCTATTAAATCTGCTATAATCTTGTGCTAAATCCATCGTTCTGTATGAACTTCACAGCACCGTTCACATCCCATAACTTTCACATCTTTTTTTTCCAAGCATTGCCAATGGCAGATCCTGTGCTCCAAACCACAAGGGTTGTGTTATAGAAAACAGTTGGGAGTTTCATACTACCACACTACTTGTACTATTTTAACAGTACAGAATATAAACAGTGTACAGTGTGGACATTTTCTGCATGCATGGAAAATCAATTGACCGTTCGCAAAGACTTACTGTTGCTATCCCCGACAAACAATGCTGATCTCACACTACTCATCATGTTCTCACGCAGTCAAAAATACATTGCAGAGCAAAGACTAAACTGACAACACGCCGACAGACAATACAGAGCAGGTTACTTCTGGTATGAAACAAGGTCTCAGGACTCTCAGCTTTTAAATTGTCATTTTTAAAGAAATTCAAACAATAAATACCGTTTTGTGGCTCTTCAATGCTGAAATTAATATTAACTGAGATTAATAAATGCTGTAGAAGTATTGTTCATTCTTAGTTCATGTTAACTAATGGATCTTATTGTACCATCACAACTACAATTCTAATAGAATAGCTGATTTAGTATTTTACATAAGTACTAAATCATTATGTCATTGTCATTTACATAATGGGTATTTGTTATTTGTGCTAACTACCAGGTTTTGACCCTGGCTTTGACCGTCACTTGTAATATGTCCTTCTTGCAGTATTTGATCAGACTACCAAAAGAGACAGAGAGAGAAAAAAAGTTAATTTGATTAAAATAACTGCATTAACAATACAAAACAACAATGCTTATTTCTTAGGAGTACTGCTGTTTTTAATGTAACATTGCATACTATTTCCTCATTGAATACTGTTTTTTGTAGGCAGTATACATTATATAGACATTATATAGTGCACAGTGTGCTGTAAGCAGTACATTATTATTCCATTCTGAACATCTCTTGATTAACATTCTGTGTGTAATAGTCCTTGTTCTGTCTCTGAGTGTTTTCTATCATTGCCAATCTCACTCATTCTGTTTTTCTTAATCTTTCTTTCTTTTTTTTTTAATTCCAGCAATATCCCTTTCATACCTCTAATAGCCTCCCATTCATTTTTAAATGTGTTCATCTGCATATTGTTCTGGTGAAACCGAAAATACATATTCCTTCTTTCCTCAGGGTGCTGTGAACAGAAAGTTGGAGTTGGTGATAATTTCCTCTTCACTTTGCCAAAGATAAGAACCAGCTGTCAAGCATTTTGAAGCCAGCAGCGAATGTTTTGGACAAGCTGTTCAGCCTCTTGTGCTGAACAGTGCTCTTGTTCAACTGAGGTCAGAGACTTCCCACTGAAACTTTTCCAGTGGTTTGGAAGTCTGTCTCTCTTCATACTCTATTGGCTTTATCTTGCATAATTGTGCACAGAGAATTCTAATAAAAAGGTAAAAATGTGTGAAATTGGACATATTAATAACCTGAGGATGTCTTTGGAAATGGCTTGTGCGTTGAATACCTCAGCCGTTTGAAAATGAACAGTCCTAGCTGTGCTCTAATTTGAATTTGCTCATTAGTGGAAGATAATTAGTTAACATGGAGCCAACTTGGTTATTATGTGTGGGATAGACCGCTGGTATATACTGTCAGATGGTACATAGAGAGGGAGTTAATGAGGGCCAGACTGCATTCTGTTGGTAGGGATGGTGCACAAAACAGTTCAAGTCTTTGTTTTCCCTGAATACATTTCCAAAACTGTGGCTTAATTTGTGCGAGTTCACAAGCGGATTTGAAGTTCAATAAAGCAGTCTCAGTGTCAAGAGGAATCAAGATCTGCAAAGAAAAATGCAATTATTTTGTAAGAGAACCGAAGAATACTTTCAAAGTTTCTCCACGCAGAGTTAATATAGTCTAATTTGGTGAAGCTTGTGAAGATTATATGTAATACGTTCTGATGTCTAATGCTTCCAACTGCTGTACAAGAGAGACACAAGCACACATACAAACAAACTGATTTGTTCTATTACATTTATTTTACTTTTTGTTCCTCCGTTTGCCCTTTTCCCCTTTTCAAGGATCCGACTTAACAACAAAACACAGCTACAGAGGAGGAAGATCAATCACTGATGAGAAAATGTCAAAAACATCCGGACTCGTTCTTGTTTTGTTATGTCGAGCAGGTCGAATATGGGGGTTAAAAAAAAGAGACTATGCCGTTTTGGATACAGCCTATTTATATTGCAGAAAAGTACAGTGGTTCTCAATCCTGGCACTGAAGTACACTAGCACCTCTTCTTTTTTGATGTCTTTAGTCACAATTTATTTTAAGGTCCAATTCTCTCTATGAACAAACCATTAACTACAACGTTTATCTCAATAAACTCCTAATTTGCTGCTTATTAATAGTTAGTATGGTAGTTGTTAAGTTTAGGTATTGGGTAGGATTAGAGATGTAGAATATGGTCATGCAGAATATGTGCTTTATAAGTACTAATAAACATAGGCATGCTAATAAGCAACTTAATAGTGACAATTGGTCCCTATCCTAAAATGTTACCAATACAGATAGTGCTAAATCTTCACAGTAATAAACCGGAAAATAACAGTGTTAATGTTGCAAAATTCATAAATTATGAAATAAATCTGATTCAGCTAAAAAGCAGCTCTACACTCTAAAAATGCTGGGTTAAATACAACCCAGTACTGGGTAAAATATGGACAAACCCAGCAATTGGGTTGTTTTGACCCAGCTTGGTTAAACATTTAACCCATATTTCACCCAGCATTTTTTAGAGTGTACAGAAGCCAACAGTGTCATTATCCAGCTCAATAGAGTTTAAGTTTTGCTCTCATCTGATAGTGTCAATGCAGTCAAATTATGGAATATTACTAAATTTAAAACTGTCCTTTAAATCCACAGGGAGACATACAAAATGTGCAGTTCTGGAGTTCTCCAGGACTGAGATCAGCTGGACTATAGAGATAGATCATATTGAACTTTACATCATTTTTTGAGAAAGTATGCTAAATGGAGCCAGAAATATGTATGCTATTACAAACAAAACCTTGACTGGAGCATTTACAAACAAAATGGAATACAAACTCTCAATGTGTCTTGAATTAAATGTGGTGAAATGCTATTCTGAATTGTTCTGACCCAATTTAACGTGTATACTATATGTATAAATAATAAATGGGTGTAGAGACTAATGTGTGCACCGGGTATTCCCTATATTATAATATTTTTAATATTATTATTATATTATTACTATATTATTATTATTATAGGTACCAAATGTACCCAACAAGCATAGTAATAAGTCATTTTTGACCTTGTGGGGACATTTGTTGGTCCCCGTGAGGAAAACCGCTTATAAATGATACAGAATTAATTTTTTTTAAGTTATTTTCTGTGAGGTTTATGGGTAGTACAGTAACGAAGTAAAACTACTCCGTTACTGTCCACCACTGGGTAGGTGTAGGGTAAGGGGATAAAAAATACAGTATGCACACTATAAAACCATTACGTCTATGGAATGTTCCCATAAAACATGGAAACAGTGTGAGTGTGTACAGTATATGTGCGTGAAGAGCACACTCACCCAGAGCAGGTTCAGCACAGTCCTTATACTGTTCAGGAGTGCAGTACGGAGAATCACCTAGAAATGAGAGAAAAACAAAGAAACAGAAAAAATGTAAGTACCAAAGAAAAGTTCTTCTTTATTCAGCCTTCTTAAATTAATAATGAAACACTGAAAACGTGTTCTGAGTAGGAGAAAAAACAGACCAACCTTCACCCAGCCAAACTCAGCAGCACGACAAGGAAATAAACAACTGGGAATGTGTGTGTGTGTGTGTGTGTGTGCGTATGGAAGAGAGTTTTGTGCACGTCTGCACTTGCTCTTGGCCAAAATGTATCGGACGTATCCTGAATGTACATCACAGAGCAGTCACAATCAGTTAATGAATCTATAATTGCCGTATTAGAGCAGGGTGCCTGTATGAATGAAGGACTAGTCATCTATGAGATAATTGTCCTGTCTTCAGCGTCAACTGAAGTAGCAAGAGGTTGAGGTTGGCACCTATGGGTTAGAATTAATAGGGACCTGTGTTAAAAAAAGTGCAGTTTTATCAGATAGGTGAAAATGGAAACCATACTGTTTCTTTAAAAGAGACCGGTTGAAAATGAAAACGACTGCAGCACTAACTTTAAAGATCAGCTATTATGGGAGTGCATAAATTGGCATTAAGAATGGGACATAAAGGGCACTAAGTCACAATGAAAAGTTCATGAAATCATATTGTGAAATCATGGAAATATACTGCGTCTTTAAAAAGAACATTTAGCAACAGTTAAAGATGACTATTTATCAATGGGCCAAAATGACTATTTTATCAGTGAAATTAAATTAAAATGGAATGTTTCTGAAGACCATTTTGCGGAGAGATCTTCCACACTTCTCAAATTATACAATATGTCAAGTTCACTCACGGCTCATGCTTACAAGCCCTTGCTGTCAGTTCGTGGGCTTGTTCCAAACCACCTTTGACCCACAGAATACTGAATTCAGTTCTATATTCTGACCTCATCTAAACAAGTTCAGTCAGGTTTTGCTCGGCTGCCAAATGCAAACCACAAATGCCACAAGCCATCAAGTTATCACTACACACAACCTCATGCTGACTTGCTTTCCGCCAGAATATGAGATGTGACCTCATTGAATGACTGTTCATCAAGAATTAATGACCTTAGATGGGTTTACACAGAGAAGATGGGAACATTGGTCCCTACTGGCTTCGTGATAGACAGTACAAACTCTGTTTGTCATAACTGTTCAGTCACAGGCATTATTAGTGACGTCTTCATTATGTCTGTCATCTGAATTTATAAAAAAGGGTTGGAAATCTGTTCTGATTTGTATGCAAATTAAGTATTTACACATCATAAAAGCTGTCATTTATGTCTATCACATATATAGTCACTGCTTCACACATCATATTTAGTGTTTTTAAGACAATGCTGTTTCATGCATTCAGAGTTGTTTACACTGTTAAAGAGTTGGATTCTCATGCTAAGCATGGACAAAGTTTCAAAAAACAATTTGGATGTATGATGGAGTATTTCTGTGCCAAAAATCTTACTTCCGGGTTCGTACAAGTTTCGGAGAGTTTTTTTCGATAGTGGCTCTTAATGACGTAAACGAGGGTGGAACTCCTTATATGGGTATTTCTCCCAGAAGAGCGCGCCCACGCACATATCGACCAGAGCAAGAGCGAGATCGCGCCCATCAACACGCTTCATCCGGCAGCAGCGCTGCACGGGACTTGCTCGGGAAGAATGTCTCCAAAGAAATGTGTTTTTGGTTGTAAGGGAAAGATAACTTTGTTCAGCTTCCTAAAGAACCCAGCGTTATGTAAACAGTGGATGCAGTTTGTTTTTCCGGGGCAGCAACGGAGTTTCACAAGTGTGTTTGTTGATGAATGTTTTATAAATAAGGCCCAGTTCGACGCTGGATTTGCACATCATTTGATACTGAAGGATGGAACGGTCACTCTATAGGTACTCAAGATTAACATGAGATTGGGTGAAACTGTGTGTGTGTTATGTCCCCTTTAACTACTATGTATACTTACATCAAAAAATAAGTGCAATGTACTTAATGTGTACATATTGTATTGCAAACACTTTTGCTACTATTGAGGTGGGATACGGATAAGGTTAGGGACAGGTTTGGTTGTGTAGGTTTAATAGTTTTAAGGTGTAAGGGATGGGTCAACAGTGTAATTATATATGTAATTACAGAAATTAATTACTGATGTAATTACATGCAGTTCTTTTTTAAAATATAAGCACAATGTGGAAAATATGTATGTACAGTACACAATAAGTGCATTGTATCACATGATTAATTTAAATGTAAGTACATAGTAGTTATGGCCACTTAATATAAACAGGGACCTGTTTTTTGTTTTTGTTTTATTATTGATACTTTGGCAATATTTTGTATAAAATCACGATCATTTCTGAAACTGAAAAGTGAAATTGAAATGTATCGTAGAAGTGAGAGAGGGTGAGTATGAAGAAAAAAGATAAGTTTCAAGCACTGCTATGTTGGGACGTACCAGGCATGTAGACCATCCTGCAGTTGCAGTTTTCTACGATGTAGCGCGTCTCACACTCGATACGGCAGGCAGACACACTGTACACCTGAAAGAGGCCTGAATCCAGGGCTCTGGACACACATTCGCCCCACGGAGGAGGAAGGTATGTCAGCTGAAGGAGAAGAAAAGATTATAATGCATTAGACAGGCTGATTAGCATGTGCTTGACATTCTCATGCAGCAACACTGGCAATAGAGTTTTTTTCTTTTTACAAACTTTTTTTATTTAATTTAATTTTGGGGGTTGGTGGGAAGTATACTGCTTTTGACAACACCAGTGGTCAATGCAAATGTCTTTTATTTTATCTCAATAAACACCAATTGACAGCATGCCCACAGAGCATTCACAGTCCATTTCCTAACCCTCTAATGTCATATCGCACACAAAACAACTGCCCTGGAAGATAATAGTACTGGGCTGATACAATGAATGTTTTTGAGCCAGAACTAATTTGTTATTACAGTTACTATTGTTTTCAATTAATTGGATTGGCATTAGAGTTTAGATTGAGTGAATAAACTAGATATTCACAAGCATAACTGTATTTTCCAGTTATGCCTATTTTGAACTTTTCTGCTTTCTGTACAATAGCTCACAGAAATTACTATATAATTAATTTTCATGTATTTGCTCTATTATGGCTGTATATCTCAACACTGCAAGCAAAAACAAAATAAATAGTCTAGTCAAAGTTTACCTAAAAAGCAACGACAAAAGTTGAAAATCAATATAAAAAAAATAAAGAGTAACACTTTACAACAAAGTTCTATTTGATAACATTAGTCAATTATACTTATCATGAATTGACAAAAATATTTCATAAGGATTTATTAATTTCAGTTGGTTTCCAACATTTACTAATACATTATTAAAATCAAAAGTTGTATCTGTTAATATTAGCTAATGGACCTGAGCTAACATAAAACAATTCTATTTTTATTAACTAACATTAACAAAGCTTAATAAATAATGTAGCAAATATATAGCTCATTGTTAGTTAATGCATTAACTAATGTTAACTAATAGCACCTTGTTGTACCAAAAAAAAAAAAGTATAACTATATAAGTTACAGAGCTAAAAAGTAAAGATAGGATGGAAGACTCAAAAATGTCATCTGTGGTCTGTTGCTTTTCATTTGACATCAAATCGATCAGACAGTCTCTTCCTATCTGAGTGGGAGGTTCTTGGCAAGACTAACCCACTATTATTGGGCATGTTTGCTTGCTGAATAAATTAATAATATTCTATCCTCTGGATATTTCTACAATGGCATCTGTAACCGAAATTAGTGCAAAGCTTAATCCATGCATGTCAGAATAAAGTCCAAAACCACCTTCATATCAGCCAGGAAAACATAAAAAAAAAAAACTCTATGCACACCACATCACAATCATCGAAAAAAAGTGAATTAGTTCCAATTTGGCACACAAAGTGCACAGAGTCCCTCCCTTCTGTTCTGCGCAAGAGTGATAAACAATTGTATGAAAAAGGATGCTTTACAGAGGTCTTTGTCTAAGGATTTACATAGACACAAGAAGCGTATTTTGTCAGATGCAGCAACAGGCATCATGCATGCTGGCATGTGTCCACTGGCTGGAAGGATTGTTTACTGTGTTACAGACAACTTCTAACACGATCACACTCCACAATCCTACATGAGCAAACACCCTGGACTGGTTCTCGTATCAGCGAACCTGGCAGCAGATGGATGGGGAAGGCGGCAGGGAGGGAAGGGCGTGAATGTCAAGGGAGAGAGAAATATGGAGCAGGATTAAGAATTTAAGAGGGAATGACAAAAGAGATCGTAAACAACAAGGGGAAGAGACATGACACAGGAAATGTCAGGTGGAGAGGAGGAGGAGTCCATCTGCCCCAAAACAATAGGTTGCCCACATCCACACTTCTCCGAGCATACATTACCCACGCTTCCATGCAGGTCAGCTTCATTTAGTCTCAACAGGAGACATAATGGGTAATGCGGTCTTAAGACCGAAAGAGCCAAATGTGAATAATGAGCTGACTTGGAGGGCATAAGAAGGGACATAATCTCTTTCCAACTGCGTCTGGAAACCACTGAGCATCAGGCACAGATTGAGGAACTGATTTCACGCAGCTGCTGATGGGAAAAAAAGATATCTGACAGGCAAATTAAATTTGTCAGTGGAGATAAAATCAAAGCTATTTTGGCATGGGAAGACTTTAAAAGGCCTGTCGTCTTACCTCTGCTCTGGGAATCAAAAATAAACCCCGCATCCAGATCTGACACTGGGTATCAGAGGGGAAATGCTGACAAAAGCCTGCCGCAACAAACAATATCTTTAAAACAAAATCAACCATAGATTCTCTGGTAAACAGCCTTATAATAACTTCATTTGCATTTCTGCAGTGTTCCTTCAGAGGTATTGCAGCATATAGACTCTCTTTGAACTATATGAAAAGCAAGCTTAATTAAGTATTTCTCAAAGTGTATGGAAATCATGCTTTATCTGTGTATTACTAGTAGCTGTGATTGCATCAGTAATTCCAACATCAAAGGATAAAAAAAAAAAATTATAAATAGAAGTACAAAAATATACAATAAAACAGATATAGGCCTACTACTTATACTAGAAGAAATAGTTATTAAAATGTTTTAAAGATTACAAAAAAGCCCCCAAATGTTACCTTAGCAGATGAGATCAAAAAATAAACATGCTTTAGAAGTCAATATATAATTTATAAATCACTGAAGATAAGCAATTCCAACTGAACACTGTTTTTCAGTGTCTCACTCAATTTAAAGATGTTGTGTCAAAAATACATGCCAAGCCCCTCCACTCTGATTACAATTCTGAAATAACTACGGACAAATATGGATATAACTAATAACATTACTTTTTATTGAATTAATTTTATTGCTTTTTTTTTTTCAATTAACCACACTAGCAATTATATGTTAAATTGATAGCTCTAATTATTACACATTGTTTTTTACAATCGGTTCTTACTATTAACATTACAAATCAGTACAGGGTTGTGTGAGCTATAATTTTTAATTCAATCAGTCAGTTGAGTTGTAGAAAATGCTGATGTTCCATTTACATTAATTATTCATTAATGATTAAGACAGTGAGAGTGTAAATCAGGGTTCTGCCCTTATAATGACCTTCCCTTCCAGCATCAGTGTGTGTGAAGCTCTGTGATCACACTCAACTAACTCTGAGGGTAGATACTTTATATACCACCTTCTGTCACTACGCAGCTCTGATGAACACGCATGCTTTCTGATCACAGTGCGTTCCAAATACATTTTTGAAAAAAGCTGTTCAAAATTTGGGGGTCTTTTTTTTCTCAAGAAATTAATACTGCAAGGACGCATTGCATTTTTCAAAAGTAAAAGTAAACACTTTTACTTTGCCACTTAAAAAAAAAAAAAAAGTTATCACAGAAAAAATATCACAGTCTCCACATTTAATATTGATAATACTTCTTGATTTCTGAAAGATCATGTGACACTAAAAACTGGAGTTTTTAAATTGTAATAATATTTCACATTATTAAGGTTTTTACTGTATTTTTTGATCACATAAATGCAGCCCTGGTGAACATCCAAGATTTTTTTCCCCAAAAATATTTAGAAATCTCACCAACTTCAAACGTTTGATCTAAAATGCACTGTTACTGGCAACTAGGGACAGAGAGTTAAGCACTCAAGTTCGAATTTATACTATCTCAAAGAGCCGTGCAGGCGGTAATAAGCTTCTTTCTGCTACATGAAGAAAAAAGTTTTTTTTTAAAAAGAAAGCAAAACTTAATTGATATGTTCTCAAAGAACAGCAGTTACAGCCATAAAGTTTAAAGGAGCAGCTAAAGCTTCTACTTACTCTGTTTTTATCTTAATAACAAAAACGGTTATTGATTTTATGACGATTATTAAAGTTAAATACTACACAAACCATTTCACATCCATGACAATACAAATATTTTTGATTAAATGATAACAATCCATTTCAAAACCAACTGGTTTAAACTCATTCATTCATACCTTATACCACAGCTTGAACTGATAAAACCAGAAAACAATGTTAATATTCTATAGCAAATGTATCATAGTGATTTAGAGACCATGATATTGGCAAAAGTCATGTAATTGAATGCTGGAAATGACAGTTTGTTTCTTCAAACTAGTCTGAATACCTAATTTAGCATATTTACTGGCAGAGTGTTGGGGGTTTTCTGCCAGAGGGATCACTAGAGACGCTCCCAAATGGAGGAAGGAGGGATGAGACAGACAGGAGGGAGTGGAAAATATATCCCGCTGCTGGATGCTTTTAGTATTTTTTATTTTTTTTGCGGGTCCTTTAAGCCTAAAGTAAAGTTAATTAACCAATGCTAAATTTACAGAGCTCCCGGCTGAGCTAAAATAAAAAGGCATTTCTGAGAGGAAAATGTCATTCAGGCTCAATCTGTGAACTCAAGACTCTTCAATCAAATGAAAAGCCATTGCAGCTCACCCTACCAGCTGCATTCATATTACATGGCTTTAGAAATTGGCCACATTCACCTTGTTTGCTCTTTTCTCCTTCTCTTTGGGTCTTTTGTAATGGGTTTCTTGCAACATTGCATCAGCGAGTCATTACGGCCCCTGGCTAGGACATCAGGGTTAATGCTAATTAGTTGGAGATACACCCTCCTGGTCAGAGGATATTTAAAAACAAATCATTTTCTCGAAATCTAAAGGAATGTTCTGTTCTTTTATTTATTTTGGTTTATACTAATTTCACGGCTATATTTGTTCTGTTAATGTAAATTTCCAAAATGAATGGAATGATTAAGTTAAGACCATAGACCCAAATGACCATTTGGTAAGGTAAATAAAGTGATGAAATGTAATGTTCAGACAAATAATGCTTGGATCTGAAGGATAATTTGATGTTATGGTCCATTTTTTACAGTACATCTGAAAGGGAGAGACATATTTAGTGAACATGTGAGCACAGGCTGTGCTCTCAGTGCATTCTGGCAGTGACTGAGACACAATTCCCAAAATATCAATCAATCAATCAAAGACTGTTATTATCACAAAATAAAGAACATACTTTCTGAATTCAATCAATGCTCAGCAACTCAA